TCCCTAGTGTTGCCCCCCCCCCCCACCAGCCTCTGTCACCTCCTCTGGCAGGCCCCGGGCTCCCCTGTGTGCGGGCTGCCCCTCCCTTCCGACCCAGTCGGCCAGTCCTTCCTGCGCCCGTTTGGACCCCGCTTGAGCTGCTTCCTCTGGGGAGCTGCCAAGCCCGCCCAGTCTGGGGCTCTAGCCATGGCCCCCGGTCCCCACAGCTTCCTGTCCCAGGGGACATTCCCGCCGACTTCCGACAGATGCCCACGACCCCAAGGCTGTGCCAGGGCCCACCCTGTTCACACCGGACACGGTGCCCAGTGCGCCGTGCCTGCCTGGGGTCCTCGTAGCCCCCCAGACAACATGGTGACTCTGGGGCCACCCTCCAGGCATCTGAAGAAAGTGTGGGTCTCTGCCTGGGTCGTCTGCTCAAGGCAGACATCCCCGCAGCCCGCCGCTCTGTTTCCAGACTCCTCTTTCTGCGTGATGATCTCAGTGGAATCTTAAAAATGAAGCTTTAATGTTTCAGGATTATACACATACAGAGTGTAGAGAAAAAATGAGCCCTACATGGTTATTTCAGAAAAACAGGGATTCCAGTTTCCTCTTCCCAGGGTCTGCTGCTTTTGATCTTCTAGATCTTTGGGTAACTTTTCTCTGAATAACATGCTCGTTCACTGCTTCTCCGTCGTTTCCAACAGTTAGACACTATCTACTGTCTTGCAAGATGATGACTGAAGTGTCCTTTCACACGTGTGCTTGAACTCACACACATGCACACTGAGCACACACATGACACACACCTGTGCACACACGAGCACACACACCTGTGCAACACACTCGAGCACATGCATGCATACAGCACATGCATGCACGCACACACTTGTGCACACACACTCGAGCACATGCACACACATGTGCAGACACGCCCAAGCACACGCATGCACACACACACGTGCATGTGCTTGAGCACACGCACGCTCGGTTGAGCATACACGCACACACACATGCACATGCTCGAGCACATACACCTGTGCACACACGCTCGAGCACACACACTTGCCCTCCTCCAGCACGGCTCCGTGCTGCATCCTATTGGCAGGTGGATGAGGCCGTTCCTAACTGCAGCCGCTGAGGGCTGAGCCTCGTCATTACCTGGGATCGTCCTTGTTTCCCCTTCACCGTGTTTCCCTGGGGCTCGGTTAGGTCCAGACGCCGCGGCCATGATTGCACCCTCCCGAGGATGTGTGTCTGGAACCTTCTGCCGCTCTGGAACCTTCAGTCGCCCCCCCGGCCCTGGCACAGCTTGGGCCCCGGGCCTCTTGGCTCGTGCTGCAGGCGGTCGTGCCTGTTTTCCTGGGTTCTCCGTCCTAGGTGGAGTGTGGACTCTTGTCCTCTCCCAAGAAGGGCAGGGAAGGGCCTGCACCGTGTCAGGAAGTGTCTTCTTTGCCCCCACGGGGCCGCCGTGGTTTTAGGTTCTGTCCTCATGGCTCATGAGGGCCGTTGCCTTGAGTTTCTGGTTGCTCATCCCCTTCCCTTGGTTTCCTCTGTCCCCACGATTCCTGTCCCTCGGAGGCAGGAGGCCCAGCCTGGCCTCCGGTCCCGTTCTGTCTCTGTTCTGCTTCCTGGGGCAGACGTCTCCCACCTTTGCACCAAGCGCCGCACTTGGGCGCCGTGGTGTCCCCAGCACCTTGTGTGCCCCGGGCGCCCCGGACAGTGTCCTGTGGGGCTTTGGGGGCAGTGCTTCCTGTCTCCAGGGCTGGTGGCGAGGGGCTGGGTGACCTGGATTTGCCCCCAAGGAGGCCACCTGGGGAGGTCGTGGGCACTGGGGTCGCCCCATGAGATCCGAAACCCTTTTCTGCCGGCCGTGTGGCCTTTGGCGCTTACCCCTCTGTGCCTCAGTGTCCCCGTCTGCGGCGTGAGCAGTGGTGGGGTGTCCTCGCAGCTGCTCGTGAGGACGGCGTGCAAGCCCGTGGAGGCGCGCAGGGAAGCGTGAGTGTGCCCGCTACTCTGGGCGCCAGCCCCAGCCGTTTCCTCGCCACGTTACACGGCTCTTCCCGGTGCTGCTCGCTCTGGGTTGTGTCCCCATGTGTCCTGGGCTCCGTCTTCCACGTCCGACGTGCTCCCGTCAGGGGCTGGCAAGCGTGCGGGTGCCCGGCTTGCCGCGCCGAGACCTCCCCTCCAGGCTGGCGGTCACCCCTGTGTCCTCTCTTGCTGCTGGCTCCTCCCGCTCTCCCTGCGCGGCCCGTCTCCCCTCGTGGGGCATCCGGGAAGCCAAGTCCAGCGGTGACCTCGGCAGGCATCTGGGATGTGAGGCCCGCACTCCTTGGAGCACGTGCGGGGCCCCTGGGGCCCCCCCTGACAGCTGTCCTGTTGGGGCCAGATTTCATCATCCGCTCCAACCACCACCGTCCCGTCGCAGCCGGAAGCAGCTGTGAGAACCAGCGCGTCCGTCGAGCCCGCCTGCGGATTTACCGGGAGCCGGGCGGCCCGTCTTCTTGCTGAGCTGTTCTGTCCGGGCACATGCAGTTGTGTGTCCTAAAGTTGTGTCACTTATTTAACAGCTGATGCATTTACTGTTGTTCTAAGATGAGTTACTGAATATAGTTTTACAACCTTGTTTTAATTTGTAACCCAGTAAGCACCGGTGGACGTCCCGCCCGTAAACCAGAGCTCTTTGGGGTGCTCCGGAGTTCCTGGCCATGGAGGGGCCCTGGCTGGCAGACGGCTCGGGCAGCCCGCTCTGTGGGCCCCCGCCGGCCCCGGGAGCTCGCAGGTCACAGTCCTACCCTCTCGCGCTCTCGCGTGGGCTTTTGTCCAGGGCAGTGGAGTAGTGGCTGCGATGTGCTGGGAGCCCAGCCCGGCCTGCTGGGAGCGCCCCGTGGGCCGAGCCAGCGCCGTTGGGACGTGGCCGATCAGCTGCTCGCCGGACGGGTCTCTGTGCACACGGCACGTGTGCGGCCACCCGGGAAGCTGATGACACTGGAGGGTCCCGGGGGGCAGTTCATGTCTGGAGATGTCCCTTCCGCCGCCCTGGAGCTGTGGTTCACCGGAGAAGCAGGTGGGGCGGGAAGGAGGCCGAGTGCCTGCGGCCGGGATGGCCGGTGTCGTGTTCAGGCGGCGATACAGGCGGTCGTGTTCCAAGAGTGCTGGGACCGTGGGTGTCACTTCCTGCTCTCTGTGCGCCTGGGAGGCAGGGCCTTGTGTCCCCCTGATCTTACAGATGGGGTCGCTGAGCCCACAGAGGGTCAGTGTCCCGTCCGAGCTGCATTGGTGCCACGTGTTGAGGTGGGTCCGTCCTAGGCAGCCTGTCCCCAGCCCTCCTGCCGACTCGTGAGGCTCAGCACTGAGCTGGAGCCAGAGGCTTGGCGGGTTCACAAGCCCCGTGGGTTCTCAGCTCGGCAGGCAGGGGTGGGCTTGCTCAGGGGAGAGGTGATTCCCGGTGTCTGTCCTCACGTGAGGACAGTGGAACAGGTGGGCACCTGAAGGGGCTCAGTTGGGCTGAGATGCAGGGGTGGGGACGACGTGAAGCCAGGCCGGTGGGCTGGGCGGGCAGGGGCCCGAGTGATCCTGGGTCTGGAGCACTAACTCCTCTCCCTTCCTGCTTTTTGTCTCCTCCAGCTCTGTGGGAAGGCAGTGGCCCTGCTCTCTGTAAAAAGATGTCCTATGGATCCATCGCTGGCAGTGGTGGCCTGGGGAGCCACGGCCCTTTCGGGGGACCCTCCAGACAAGGCTATCAGCCCCTAGGTAATGACAGTGGCTCGTGGCGTTGGAAGGGTGGCAGGGGTGGCAGTGGGCAGGTCTCTGCTCTGTCGCGATGGTGGCAGGGGTAGGTGGGCTGTGGGAGCAGTGGTGCCTGTGGCCAGGGGCTGGGGCAGGGTGGTTGGTGTTGGACTGGGTCAGCACCAGGAGAGGCTTCACTGGGAGAGGAGGCCCGCCGTGGGGACGGACCTGGTGTCTGAGGCCATTCTGGCCTCAGGCTGGCACTCAGCAGGTGCCCCGAGCTGGTCTGGGGGTGCCTGGGGTACCTGGCCAACAGCTGAGTGGATGGATGGCCTAGACTGGTCTTCCTAATGACAGTGTGGTGCAGGGGTGTAATTTTTGCAACACACAGGGGAGGAAACTGAGGCCAGGCGGGCTTGGGGGCTCCATGCAGCTGGTGCAGGGCAGAGCAGGGACCCCCTTCTAGGACTCCCAAGTCCCCTTGCCCTGTCCCAGCACCGCCTCACTCTGAAAAGCGTGGTTCTGGCTTCTTTGTCTTCTTCCTACTTTTGCCTGTGTGTGTGTGTGTGTGTGTGTGTGTGTGTGTGTGTGTGTGTCCGTCCGTCCCCACAGGGCCCCCTGCTGCCTTCGCATGTCTCAGAACTTTGTTCCGTACAATTTATTATTCTGCCGTTTGCTGGCTTTGCTCCTGAATCCCTGATGTCGAATGTCGCCGTCCCCTTGCGTCTTCCTGCTCTGTGGCTGCGTGGCACCTGCACGGGTCCATGTGCGAGGGCCAGCGTGGGCGTCTGTTTGGGGTGCCATCGCCCAGCAGGTGCAGGGGACCCGTTGGCTGTGTCTGGGCTGCCACACACCCGAGGCGCGTGCCGGTCCCGCTCCGGTGCCCCTGGTGCCCCGTCCTGGTCAGCTGTGTTGGCGCCACCCCGGTGCCCTTGGCGCCCGTCCCTGTCATGCCGCGTGGCAGCTGGTGGCGGCTGGTGGCCGTGTGCGGTCTGTGGGTGGGGAACAGTGTCTTCTGGCTCCGCTTTCCATTTCTCTGGTGACCGATGGGACGGGTCCATTTCTTCTCCAGCTGAGAACTCTTCGCCTTAATTCTCCTCTCAAGTTTGCCGTGTTCTTGCTGATCTGTAAGGGTCCCTTCTGCATCCTGGATGGACCCGTCGTCAGCTGGCCCTCCGCATCTTTGCCCGGCGGGGGCCTGCTTCCCTCTGTGGTGCCTGCTGGGCGGGTGCGGGCTGCTGGAGCGCCTGAGCGTGCCTGTGGTTTCTGTCACCTTTGCACTTTGGTTCAGTGTGACAAATCCTGGCACGAGCTGGTACCGGGTTTCCTTTCCTATGACGAGATTTGGTTTTCCGGGGTCAGTCTTTCACTCACCTGGACTTCTGTTTACGGCGAGAGGTGTGTGCGGGGGTGGGGCCGTGATGCTGTTTCTCTAGTCCTGGGGCTAGTCTCCGAAGATGCCGTCCCATCCTGCAGGCCTGCAGAGCCAGAGTTCTGGGACAGCTTCCGCGTGGGCTCTCTTGGTCAGTTTTTCTCTTCCTGCCCCAAATCCCGCCTTAGTTTTCAGGGTTACGGGTTTTGGTATTTTTTACGTAAGTTGCCCTACTTGTTTTTCTCAGACATGGCTTGGGTGTTTCTGGCCCTTCGTTCTTGAACATGAACTTCAGACTCCCGCCCCTCGGGCCTGGAGCATTGGCGGGAGCTGCCGTGCACCTGCCGCACTCACCTGGTACAGGTGAGTCCTGGCCCCGTCATCGCCGTGGGCTTCCGGTCCGTGAGCGCGCCTTTCTCTTCCTCAGATCTTCTTCCGTATCGTTCAGTAAAGTCTTACAACTTTTACCGTAGAAATCTTACATACCTTTCGTTAGCTTTGCTCTCACGAAGAAAACGTGTTTGTCGATGCTGTCGTAAGCGGCACCGTTCTGAATATTACGCGTTCGAAATCTTTGTTGCTGGTTCACATACACAGTAACTGGTTTTTTAAAAAAGCAGTCTTGACGTTTTATTTACTTTTTAAACTTTCAAGTTGTGGACGGCTTGAAACATAGAAAAGCGGACATTGCAGCGCCCGGGTGACTCACTTGGTTAAGCGTCTGACTCTTGATTCCGATCGGGTCATGATCTCAGGGTCATGGGATCAAGCCCCGTGTCGGGCTCCATGCTGACAGCACAGCACCTGCTTGGGATTCCCTCCCCCTCCCCCTCCGTCTGCCACCCGCCCCCCTGCTCATGTGTGCACTCATGCCCCCTCTCTCTCAAAAAGAAAACAAGTAGACACAATAACGTAGCGAGCCCCGGGGCTGCCCGCTCCACCTCGGCAGGTGTCTGCTCGTGGCCTGTCCAGCTCCTCGTGCCCTTGGCCTGCCCCTGCGTCATTCTGTGGCGAGTCCCAGACATAGCGCGCACCCTCTGTTGACGTGTCCACGTGCCTCTGAGCGCCCCCAGAGGGCCTGGTCGCATGCGCCCCGCTGTCAGTCACGGCTCGGTGGCCTCGCGCTGGGAAGCGGGACCCTGGGAAGACCCGTGTGCTGACAGGCCTCCTACGTCTCTCGGAAGCTTGAGCTTCTCCATCGTTTTGGCCCTTTTTTCCTCGAAGTTTATTTCTTGAAGAAACCCCGTTTTTCCTGCGGAGCGTAATTGATTTTTGCCCCCCAACTTTATATCCTGCCGTTTTGTCAAACTCCTATTGACCGTAATCATTGTCTGGATGGTGTCATTCGTAAATAGTGACATTTTTTTCTCTTCTTCCCCAGTGCGTTCGCCCTTCTTCTGCCTTCCTGAGCCGCTCAGAGCCTCTGTGATGCTGAGCGACAGGGTGTTTGTCTCCTGTGTGAGTCTCTGGAGGGACAGGACTCCGTGTTCCTTAAGTGTTTCTGGATTTTGCTGTAAAAGCATCGGGCGTAGTGTTCCCTTTGGGGAATGCTTTTTAGATTAGCACTTCATGTCTCCAGTTGTAAAAACTACCCAGGCTCTCTATTTCCTCTTGGGTCATTTTGGTTAAATCAAAGTGAGACCTCCGTCTGCTTCATGTAAACGTTCGAATTTATGGAAGTGAAATGTAGACAGTAGCCGCTGGTTGCTGATGAGGCAGCCCTGTGGCGTCGCTGAGGGCCTGGCCGGGGGCCGCCTGCCCTACGCTGCCCCTGCCCAACCACCTGGACATGCGTGACCTCCCACGGACCGCGGCAAATCCCAAAGGCTGGGAGCGCTCACTCTTGCGGTGGCTGCTGTGTTACTAACAGTCAGGGTATCTGGATCGCATTCTTTTTTTTTTATTCCTGATAGAGTTTATTTGTACCTTCCTTATTTTCTTCTTTTACGATCGTGTTGACTGAGGCTTGGCAGTTTTGTGAGTCTCTCTGATGAACTGACTCCTGACTTTCTTGACACCTTCCGGTACATGCGTCTGTACGTGATTGATCTCTGCTCACATTTTTATTGTTTTCTTCCTTTTTTCTTGAAGCTGGAGCTGTTTGATTTTTGTGACTCCTGAGGAGGATGTTTACCTCATTCGTGTTCAGTTTTTATTCTTTTGTAATAAAACCACTTTAGATTATAAATGTCCAAATAATCACTGCTTTCGTTGAGCGTCAGACATTTATTTTTTTTTCAACGTTTTTTTTTTTTTTTTTTTTTTTTTTTTTTTTTTTTATTTTTTATTTTTTTGGGACAGAGAGAGACAGAGCATGAACGGGGGAGGGGCAGAGAGAGAGGGAGACACAGAATTGGAAACAGGCTCCAGGCTCTGAGCCATCAGCCCAGAGCGCGACGCGGGGCTCGAACTCACGGACCGCAAGATCGTGACCTGGCTGAAGTCGGACGCTTAACCGACTGCGCCACCCAGGCGCCCCTGAGCGTCAGACATTTAAAAGTATATACTATTCTTAAGTTAGACTTCGGGTGTATTTTCTCATTTCCGTTATGATTTCTTCTTTGACTCGGGATTTATTTCAAACTGTGGTTCATCGTTTCCAAATATATGTGTTTTTTTCCTGGCTATCTTTAAAAAATGATTCTACTTAATTGCATTTTTGCCAGAAGAGGATCTGTATTGTCCTGATTTGTTGACAGTTGTCGGGACCCGGCTGCTTATACTGTGTCCTCTGCGGGGCGCCCTGAAAAGGGTCCGGGTAGGGGCCTGGGCGGTGGGGCCGGGCGGAGACCCCCGTGTGCGGGAGCGGCTGCCGTCACCCGGGACCCGCTGTGCACCGAGCCCTGGGGTACATGTGACCCTGGAGGGAGTCATGCAGAGCTTAGGGTGACCTTTTCGTGGAGGAGTCACAGCAGGAAGTTGACTGGCCGACAACTAACACATGAAGAACTCACATAAATCGAAGGGAAACCCGACAGTCCTCACGCAAGCGGGCCAACTCGCGAGCTCACTGCAGACGGGAGGCCTCACTGTGCCCAGAGAGACGGACTTGGAGGTGACCGCGTGCCGGCTCGCTCCGGAGGGGAGGGCACGGGCAGTTCCCGGACCCCGCAGCCTGCCCTCTCCTGGCCCGGTGCCGCCGCCTCCTGGACGGCTGGGAAGTCACCGACCTGTGGGCAGGGGTGCCGGGTGCGGCGGTGGCCGACCAGAGGATTCGCTGAGCGAGCCGGCGGGGCGAGGCGCAGCCTGGGTCGGGCTGTGATGGCGGTGTTAGCGTCAGTTGAAGGTGGCTGGGCGGCCTCTGCACACGTCCAGACGTGGTGACGGGTGTGCTGACTGGAGGACGCGGAGCCGTGCCCGGAGTGTTCTAATTGTGCGTGACCCCTGCCCCCACGGTAACAGTGTTCGCCTCCAGATGCCGTCATCACAGATGATCTGTATCGTTTTCTTATAACTGCGTTCGAACTTCTCCTCGCAACCGTGTGTGTTCTAATAGTCAGAAACAATAGTTGTCTCCGGACCCCCTCAAAGTTCAAGGGTCATGTGATTCCGGAGGGCAGGCCACACGGGCTCCTCCACAGGTGTCTGGGGACCGTGTGGACTGAGCAGGAGGAGGCGGGCAGGGCCCAGGCTTGCCGTGGCCAGATGCCAGCGTGGCGAGGTCATCGGGTGGCGATGCGGGCGCCAGCTAGGCCTCCAGTCTCCCTGCCCCCACGGGGGGAGCTCTGGGGGGCCCGAAGCACAGGGTGACCCCAGTTGCCAGGTACCTGGACGCTGTTACCCGGGGAATGCGTGCCTGCAGGGGCGCCTGGCAGGTGTCTGGGGAGAGGACCCGCCCCGCAGGCTCCCCACGAAGCCCTTCAGGAAGAGGGGCTGCGGGAGACGGGCCCTGGCCTGGAGGCTCGTGCTCAGACCCACAGATGCCTCCGTGTCGGCCCTCGGCCCCCGCCTCCCTCTCACGTGCCGTGACCGTCCGGGGCCGCGCCTGCCTCCCCACACACGGAGGAGAGTTCTCTCGGTCTGACTCGGAGACGTGGTTGTTGCAGTTCTCTGTGGCCGGGGAGCCTCCACCCTCGAGTAAGCCGGCTGCCGTCCCGCCGTCCCGCGTCCTTCCCCTGATGGCCCAGGCACAGGGGCCACCTTCCCGGAAGGGTGGAGGCTCCTCCCGAGGGGTGCCCTCCTCCCCGAGTCTGGCCGGGGGCCCCGGGGGCTGCCTGTGTGCTTTGGGTTCTTGCTGCCTGGAGACCTCTCCCACCCCGGGTGGGGTCCTAGGGGGATTGCTTGGTACAGCCCTTCTGTTCCTGTCACACTGGGCCGCCGTGCCCCTCCTCCCCCCCGCCCCCTGCAGAGCGGTGTCCTTTGCTGTCCCCTCTGGGGAGATGCAAGTCTCAGTCCTTTTCCCGGAAGGAGCTGCCCCTTCAGGAGCTCTGAGCTGGGAATGGCCTGGGACAGGCCGTGTCCCTGGGTTTCAGAGCAGCTGTCAGTGTGGTCAGGTCCGCCGACACCTTCTAGAGCTCGCTCCCTGAAAACTGCCTTTTCAGAGAGAGCTCCAGAGAGAACAGGGTCACACAGACAGCCCCGGGCTCTGGTTTGGGTGGCCCCGATGGGAGCCTGTTGGGGGCCAGGGAGCAGGAGGAGGCCGCCCAGGTGCCCGGAGCCACTGCCCCTCAGCTGTGTAGCTGAGAGGCAGGAGGGCGGGTTTCATATTTATCTTCACTGCCCAGAAGCCACAGAACAACGTTCTTACAACAGAATGCTCCCGTGCCTGGTTGCTGTGGTGATTTTGAACTGCCGTAAACATCCCTAAGGCCTTGCTCCCCGTTTGTGTAGATCATTTGTTTCAGACAGGTGACAGGTGACACCCGCTGAAGGCCTGGCCTGGTCTGTGGGCCGTGCCTCAAGGCCCTGCTCTAGGCGATTTCGTCCTTGTTTGGGGTCACCTTTTGGAGTAATTGTGGTTCAAAGAAAGATCTGGAGCATTTAAAGTATTGAACTTGGTGCTGGCCTCCGGCAGAGGGTTTGGCAGTCTGGGAGGGCTTCTTGGAGGAGGTGGGACTGAATGGAGCTTCTTGGCGTGGATGCTTGGAGGGCTCAGGGCACCTGCTGTCCTGTGTGGGGGCCTTGCTCTGCCAGCAGCACCCGAGCTGCTCTGTGGACGGGCTGGGTGTAACTGTGACTGTCCCTTGCTGTCTGTAGAGTGCGCTAAATGTTGGACCGAGTATGGAATACGCCATTTCCCCTGCCCGTCGCCAGAGAGCAGCCCGCAGGACCCCTGTGTGGGCAAGGACGGGGAAGGTGATCTGGGGTCGGCGGGCACGCCCAGAGGCCCGAGGGCCAGGAAGCGAGGTACTTCCGCTCGGGTGCTGGGTCCGGGAGGGTTCCGGGGAAGGCCGCCCAGAGATGCCCAGCGCCAAGGAGGGAGGGTCAGCAGGTGGGAGCGGGGCGAGGCGGCCTGAGGCTGGCCGGGATTCTGGTTGGTCTGTACCTCCCCCCCGCTAGCCTTTCCCTTCTCCAGGGACGGCAGATGGTGTGGCTGGGCTGGACTGGTGACAGAGGGGTGCGGCATGAGGACTTGTGCTGGTCGGGGCCCCGTGGGTTCCAGGGATGAGGCTCAGACCTGTGGGACTGGTTCCCTTGGCCCCTTCACTCTGGAGCCAGGATTCTCCCCGCAGGGGGCGCTGGTGAGGGAGTCGGGGTCCCTGGCGTGCGCTGTAGGGAGGGCAGGGGCTGTGGGCCTTTGTAGAGGTCGCCTTCTGATTGACGGGGACCTGGAGGGAGACAGGCGGGGGGCTGCTCTCTGCGTGCTCCGCGGGGCTCAGACATCCCTCTGCCCTCAGGGGCTTTCTCCTCACGCCTGGGAAACCCGTGGTCTGATGGGGGAGCTGCCTCCTCTGCCCTTACAGATGGCCCCCTGCACCCCCGGCAGGCATGTGCCGGCTGGGGACAGAGCTCCCAGCTGGGCAGAGGCCCGAGGACCTGCTGCTTTGCACGCCCAGCCCCGGACCCCCGTGTGTTGAGGACCGCAGGCTGCGGGGGCTCGGAGGGGCGGGGCGGGGCCTCTCAGCCAGGGCCGCTGGGCGCGTCCGTGGCCAGGCTGTCCCCTGGGGAGGGATGACCTGGGAATGCTCCTGCCTGTCTGGTTCCTTGGCTCCCGATGACGGCTGCCAGAGGTGGCCCTTTCTGGAGACGTGCCCCGCAGCCCGGAAGTGAAGCGCCTTGCCCGCGGAGCCTAGTCGGACCTGTGGACACCCACAGGGAGGGGCCGGCAGTGTCCTGAAGCGGAAGCCGGAGAGGAGGCGCCCTGGGGGCCACCCCGCCGGCCCAGGGCCTTACACACCCGCCTTTTGGTGCCGTTCCAGGGCCAGGGGTCGCCCCCGAAGGCAGCGGGACACCAGAGCCCGGCTCACCGCCTGCCGCAAGCCCAAGGAAGGACTCTGCCGGCGGGGCCCACGGCCGGCTGGCGGGGCCCGGCGCCACGCGGGCCAAGAAGAGGAAACCCAACTTCTGCCCACAGGAGACAGAGGTCCTGGTGTCCAAGGTCAGCAAGCACCACCAGCTGCTGTTCGGCACGGGGCTGCTGAAGGCCGAGCCCACCCGCAGGTACCACGTGTGGAGCCGCATCCTGCAGGCTGTGAACGCCCTGGGCTACTGCCGCCGGGACGTCGTGGACCTCAAGCACAAGTGGAGGGACCTGCGCGCTGTCGTGCGGCGCAAGCTGGGCGACCTCCGCCACGTGGCCCGCGGCCCCGGCCGGCTCCAGGCCTCGGCCCTCACGCCTGTGGAGCAGGTGGTGGCCGAGACCTTCTCCTGCCAGGCCCCCGCCCCGGAGGGCCTCGGCCTGGAGCCGCTCAGAGGTGAGTGCCTTGCCCCGGCCATCCGGCCGGTGGGAGGCGCAGGCCCGCGGTGGCCTGCTCGTGGCCAGGCCTCGGTCCTCCAGCCACGCTCTCCTCCCCTCTCCTCTTCCCCACCTGCACCACCTCCGGTGGCTCCCGCCCCCGGACTGGCGCACTCGCCTGCCCGCACGGGGACAGCCTTCTGAATGTCCGGGCGTGGCAGGTGGATCCACCTCAGCCCTGACCCTCGCGGCTGCAGAGCGGGGAGCCGGGCACACGACACGGTCTTCCCCCGAGGACTCCGCTTCCTGCCTCTGGACCCCGGCCCCCAGGAGGAAACGCGTTTCCTGTTGCTGTCCCGTGTACGCGCACACACCCGAAACACGCGGGTTTCGTGCGCTCACCCCACGTCACCCTCTGTGCCTCGGCGTGCCCCTCTCTTGCTCTCCTGTCCCGTCCAGGGCTCTTAGCCTGTGCGTGAAGTAAAGCGCTCCCGCCGACTCTCTGGTTTTAAGGCCTGGGTGGTAGAGCTGGGGTTTGGCCTGACGCCCAGAGCCGGCCCCGTGGCATCGGGATGCGGCGGGGGTGGGCGCCTTGAGTTCTCTGGGGCGTGCTGCCCTGTGGGGGTCACTTCTCGAAGGTTCCTGTCGGGCACAGGGGGTCGGGGGACCCGTGGAGGTCCAGCGGGGCGTCAGAGAGCCCAGTGGGTGGGTCCCAGACAGGTGCCGGGACTGCTGGGTGGGGCTTTGCAGCGGCAGCAGCCTTGGGGCCAGAGGCGGAGGAAGGCCGGTGGGGAGGGGGGTGGACGGCAGGTACAGGGGAGGTGTGGGGGGCGTGCAGGTCATCTGTGCGTGCCTCCTTGGTCATCAGGACTGCCGGTGTTAGGTCCTGAGGACCGTTTCTAAGTCCGTACCTGGTGTTCGGCTTTGAAACGGGGCCAGAAAATACACAAAGAACGTCAGAAACAAAACAGAAGCAGACACGTGTTTGTGCAGCAGACAGGACAGGCGTTGCCTCGCTTTTCCCCCGCCAGCCCCGCATTTGGGGACGTCGTCTCCGCCGGTGGCGGGCAAGGCGGTGGTCTGGGTGCCGCTGCCTGCGGTGTCCTCAGTGGCACCTGGTGCTGGCCGGGGCCACGAAGCAGTGGGATCCTGAGGCTGAGGGCCTCCTGCTCTGTAATGTCAGGCGTGGACACCTCCGTGGCCTGCTGTGGGCAGCGGGAGAGCTCGAGGTGCCCAGAACCTGTGCCTCCGTTCCTTGGTTCCCGTGTTCTTCCCGGACGGAGCCCAACGCTTGCCTCCCTCCTCCAAGACCCGACTGCTGTCCCGCACCCCGAGCTTGAGGCCCCCTCCTCCCTGGCCCTGCTGACCCTGAGCCCGCTTGCGGCCCTGCTGTGGCCCTGGCCCCAGACTGAGCCCTGCGCGGTCCCTCGGGCTCCCCTCTGCCTCCTGGGTCTCCCCTTCCCCCCGTGGGGGGAGGGGGGCCGGTGCATTCGGCTCAGGGTGGAGGTGCTCTCACTGGTGGGGGACCCAACCGCACACCTTCCTCACAGCCCCGCCCTCCGGCTCCTCCCCCTCTAGCACTCTCCCCCTCCCCCTCCCCCCAGGTCCCTGTCCCTGTTGCAGGCCCTGAGGCAGGAGTGTGGCCCCCCTGGCAGGGCTCCCTATGGGCCCCTCGGGCCCTTGGCTCCCAGCACCAGGCTTTCCCGGCTTTGTGATGGTTGTCCACACACCTTCTCACCTCCCTGGCACCGTGGCCTGCCGCACACCTGGGTTTCGGGGAGTGGCTGAGCATGTGTGGGAGGCTCCATGGTGTGGCCCGGGTGCAGGTGGCGGGCCTCGCTCCGCACCGGGGACGTCCTGCTGCCCGCCCAGACTTGGATCTGGTCACATGGCCTTTCTTCCCCAGAGCACTTTGCGAGGGGGCTGTTGCTGCAGGACAAGGAGACGATCTCTCCGGGAGAAACAGGAAAGTACAGAGTACATGTGTATTCAGGGTCATCCCCCTGAGATTTGGTGCTGTCCCTGCCTCTCCCTGGAACGCAGCCCCTCCCTGGGTCCTCCTTGGTGCCCTCAGCACGGGCCCTGGGCCGAGAGCCAGGCCAGGCGCCCCCAACCCCGCACCTCCTCTCGCCCTGTCCAGTGGGGGCTCCCTGCTGCTTAGGAAGGAGGACGCCTCTGATGCTCAGAGGATCCCGTGCTGTTCCTCTTTCCTTCCTGTGCCTCATGCACATGTGGGTCAGGATCCACTCCCACCCCCCCCCCCCCCCACCGCCGCCCCACTTCCTCCCTCCGCTTGGTGCAGGGGCAGAGATCCAGCCTGTGTCCGCAGGGTGAGTAGACCCAGAAGTGGAGCGTCCTGTGACGCCCGAACGTTGTGACTCCGGCCTGCTCTTAGAGCACCTCGGTTCTGAGTTTCCGCTCCGGTTGGCAGACGTGGGGCTGGCCAGGGGGTCTCCCTGTGCTTCTGCTCCAGCCGTGTTCTGGGCTGTGGGGTACACCCGGTGGGGCTCCCCGTGTTGTGCGGCTGTGATGAGCATGTGAGGCTCAGAAGGGGGATGCCCTCAGGGGACTGGTCCCCCAGCTCTGCTCACTGTCTGCCCCAGGGCACAGTGGCCCCGTGGGGTGGGAGGCAGGCGGGCACTGGTGACCCCACGGGGTTCCACGGAATCGGCAGCTGCTTGGCTGGGCCCGGAGGCCAGAGGTGCGTGGTCCCCTGTGGAGGCCGGCTGTGTGTGTGTGGCGGCGGAGCCGAGGGGCCGGCCAGGGGGCCTTGTCCTTCCCTTTGCCGCTGGTGCCCGTTGGGTGTGCTTGGACTTGCCCTCACTGGGGGTTGCTCAGCGTGGGGCTCGCACATCCCCGCGTCCTGTCTGTGGGACGGCCAGTGTCATCCAGGGAACGGGCTGCTGCTGTCATCACCAGCCTCCTCGGGGCCCTGGGTCTGTGCGGGCGCGGTGCTGGTGGACCCCCAGCAGCCCACCTGGGCAGCAGCGCCCGCGCACTGGGCCACTGGGTTTCTCCCAGACCTGTCTGCTCTGGACCCGAGAGGCCCCCTGACTTCCTTGCTCATCCCGCGTCTGGGGCACCGTACTGCCACTCGGCCTCCTCCTGCCTGGCCCGAGTGGGCACACAGTCCTTCAGCCAGCCCTTGGCGGCGGGGCAGAGCCCAGCTGTCCGGCCGGCCCATGTGACGGGGCAGGTGGGGGCGATGTGCGGCTCCAGGGGGCTCCAGCGCTGGTACCTCCAGCACTGGTGGCTGGGCCGCTGCCTCTGGACCCGGCAGCATGAAGGGCAGGTGTCTGGAGCAGACGTGGAGCTGGGCCCTGTAGGGGACAGAGGGCATTGCCAAGTGTGCGTTGGAAGCCTCGAGTCCCCGTCCTGCCCTGGGCACCTCTGTGGAGATGCTCAGGTGGTTCCCCGGATTTGCGTGCTCAGGAAGGAGCGTCCCGTTGTCTCTGCAGAGGGCGGGGGTGCTGGAGGGCCGTCCGTGTGTCTGTGTCCCGGGAGCCTGTCCTTCTGTCTGCCCTGATGGATGGTTTTGTGGTTGCCGGCTTTTGGCCGGGTGGAGGTACTGGGAACATTTGTATAAAATCTTTGCATTGACAGATAGTGTCACTCTTGTGGGGGTTGATTGATAAACTTTCCAAGAAAGTTTCTAAGAAACTGGCTGTCCCACTATTGGGTCCTGCAGCCATGAGCTTGGGTTTACCCTT